CGCCACGCTGACGTTGGAGGAGATGAGCTCGACGTTCCCAGGCGTCGAGGGGTACTGCACGCCCAGATCCAGGCAGTTAGGGGTGAGGAAGCCACACAGCTCTTTGGGCTGCGGCTCGACCGGCGCTGCCGGCAAGTAGGCCGTCTTGTAGGAGTTGTACTCAGACGAGTGGTGGACCAAGCCGTTGGGGAAGAGGAGCGAGCCTGGAGCCCCCTGGTTGTTCTCCAGCAGCTCTCGTTCTTTGTACTCCCGCTCCAGCATGATGCTTTCCAGCTCCTTGTCTGCAAAAGCCCGTCTCTTCCTCATGCGGTCGCTCAGCGGCGGGGGAAGAGACGGGTTGGCTGCCAGGAATGGATCCGACTGCACCGGGCGATATCCTGTCATCGAAAAACAAACGTTCAACTTTTATGACATCGACATCGACACCCAACACAGATAATAATCTAATTACATTTATACTTAGTAAAGCTGCTAAACGAGTTAGCGTAGCACGTGCTGACGTTTTACTGCTTACAGCTGTTAGCACGTCCTTATCGCCCGTTTGGTGTTAAAGGAAAAAGAAACGTAAGCCCCGCTTCGAGCGACGGAGGCAGAAGCTTTTCTTTTAGTCTGAGCCGTACCTTCCAGGATGCTTTTGGCGAGCATGGTGGACGGTCGGATGTGTCGCTGATATATCGTCCTCCTCTCTGCAGGAATCGGTTTCCCGGATACGCCTTTCTTATCCTGGGAAATTAGAGAAACAAAAGAGAAAGATTTAAAAGACGCTGACAGAGTGTTCACCTTAATCCTTGTTAAAATAACTGATTTTTCACAGCTCAGGTCCACGTCGCCTGTGTGTTTGGATAATAAAAACCAGCCTTAACAATAATCCAGCAGCGACACACATCTCTCCTGTTATTACCTTAAAAAGGCCTCAAAACAGCCCTGAACTGGACGGAGACGCAGGAATAACAAATCCAACATTTAACACATTTAGTTTTTGTGCAGTAACAAAAATGAGAGAAAGTGTTTGTTAAAGATATAAACCAGGATATTTAACAGCAGCTCAGCTGATCACACAAACTGAGAAACACTCATCATCTTTAAAATGCTGTTTTGCTCTTTTACAGAAATATGTGCAGATTCTTCACACACACACGAAACAGCCGCGAGTTTGTGTTTTTATTCAAATTCTCTTCCTGAGCCTTTATTTGGGGGAAAACTAAATATTCCTCGTTTGCTGAATGAACCTGAAAACCTCCAACGGCTCCTCGGATGTGCCTTTATACTCGTGTTTGTTCAGTGAAGCTAACAAAGCGATA